CCTTCACCGTCAAATTTAGAGCGAGGAGCAGGCGGTACCAACGACGAGCTGTTGAACACTGGCAAGGACGAGACCGATTAGAAGAAAGTAATATTGCTGGGGTGGGATAACAGGATGCGTATGAATACAAGAAGACTCGAGTGATGCGAAAAAAGGAAATGAGTCAGACAATAATAAGCTCGATCTAGTGAACCGGATGTGTATGATAGGTCCTACAGCGAGGATCATGAAGAATGGGAGAGGGGACAGATGAGGAGAGTATAGTGGGGGGGGATAGTGGGGAGAGGAGGAGGGGCTGTGCGGCAATGTACACCGAGGGGATGCACGGTGGAGAACGTCAAGACGCGCGTTTGAACGCGCGGAACAGTGATTGCTAGGCAGACACTTGTCGATTCCCACTTAGAGAGGACATTGATGATAGTCTATTCGGCGACCTATTCTCCTCGTGCTGGTGCATAAGCTCGGCGTATCTAATCCTAATGAGTCTAATGCTAACATCTAAGAATGATGCCAACTTACAAGAGCTTGAAGCGGACCAACTCTGCTTCGTATTCCTCTTTTTCAATTTTAGCTCTTACGAGTTGATTCTAAAGAACGTTGAGCCAAGGCCAAAGACATGACAGAGAACTTACAATCACGTCACAGTGTTCTGTTTCGGTTTGTGCAAATTCCTCTTCGAGCTTTTTTCTACAAGGATGGTGAGCATAGCTCAATGATTGCAGGAACCGAACGCCTTACATGCGAGCTTTCAGCTGTCGGTTCTCATTCCGTAAATTGTCCATTTCCACGAGATGTGCGGTTTGGGCCCGTCGCATCTCTACATATTCATTCGCATACCCATCCAACTGGAAGGTAGTGATTCGAAGATTGGTTGCATCCCGAATAAAGTCATCCACACGGATCTGCTCTTCTTCACCATCTTCCAATTCTTCTTCTACCTATGTAAGGGATTAGCCAGAGAACAATTGCTTTCGAGAATGCTCAAGTGCTATAAACTCACC